CGAGCTGCAGCAGTGAGAATTCCATCCTCCCATTCACGAGTATCCAAGTCCCTGTGACCCAGTAAACGCTCACGTGGCATGGACTTGGGCCCCAAGTCTTGAGGTTCATCACGTGGGTCTTAACCAGTTGGCTGCACCGGATCAGAGGTTGCTGCAGGACTTGCCGGACCAGACTTGCCACTACCCGAGGGTCCCACCACCACACAAGGCTCACTCCGCAGGCCTTCCTTGTGGTCTTTGCCTCGAGTCGACATCTGCTTCACAGCTACTGGCGGGCTGCCAATGGCGGCAGCTTGCCGTAGATGATGGACACCCACTCCAGCCTTCTCGAAGACGCTGCTGTCCAGCAGGGCGTGACTGCGACCGCCTCCGCGCCGTTTAGTAGAGCTGGATCCACTGATTGCCTCTTGTGTAAGCAAGTCGAATGTATAGATGAAAGAAATCAGCGAGTCCTGCAAGTCTTTAGGACCATTACTGAGACTGGCTTTCCGTATGATAAACTCCTTCTGCGTCGGTGCTCGACTCGTGTTAGGAGCTCCAACCAGCATTTCTCAGAAATTTGACTCCGTTTCAGACGCTGAAAGGTGTGTAAACTTGCTATTTCCACTGATTTCCATCGATTGCACGAGAGCTTAGGCTAGTGCGATGGATTTTCCGGAATCTGGCTACAGGAAGCAATAATAATTCAGCTACAGCACAATTGTAAACAGCTCTGGAAGGGCTTACTTGATCGTGCAGGTTGTAGTGGTGACATACACGGAAGCACTCGAAGGATAGAAACTCGCAGTGAGCTCTATACTTTCCCCAGCCTGGAGCAGGTGCCATTCCACTAAGACAGAGCGTCGATCTGTTCGCTGTTGTGCACTATGAATGCATGTAGCGTCGTCTCTTTTGTCGGACTCAAGCCAAAGTCCACTCCGTGCGGGATATCTAAAACAAAAATATACTGTAGCAAGTTCCGCGTAGGTAGTCGTTTTGGAATTTTGTCTGTAAAAGTAAAACAAGAAATGATTTTTTTAACTTTTTTTATATGTATATGCTGTATAGAATACATGCTGTAGAATTATAACTAAATGTTAGTGTGCCGGTATCATTGTAGTGTACTTACGTTGCCGATAACATACGTCTCAAACAATAAAAGTCAATCTAAGCAGACATGTTGGGGTTAGTAACTACGAAATAAATACAGCAAATTGCACTAGGACCCCCCTCTAAGTAGCTAATTGACAGCCTGCAATTAGAGAACAAGAATTGTTAAAAAGTTTTTATCTCAACGATGACACACACTGCACCTTGGCTTTCACCATGCCTCGCGAAAAACTGCATTTTTAGTGGGCGACCGCCGCACGTTGGTGAGCAAACGCTGCACCCTTGACTGTGGGCAAACGCCGCACGCTAGTGAGCAAACGCTGCACCCTTGGCTTGTGTTGAACGCTGCACGATCAGTACTGACCGCATCAAGAGAGTGCAAGGAAAATTGGAGTAATACATATGCCATACAAACCGAAAATTCAAGAATCGTCTGTTCTCATTATTTGTGGTAGTTACCACTAGTAACCTCGGTTTCGGTAAAGGCCACAAGCTCGTGAAACATGTTTTGGGACCTTATGGTAAAAAAA